TTCAGCTCAAGGCTAGAGCTCTACCACTTGAGCCACAGCGCCACTTCCGGCTTTTTTCTTTTTGCTTATGTGGTGCTGAGGAATCGAACTCAGGGACTCAGGCATGCAAGGCAAGCACTCTACCACTGAGCCATCTTCCCAGCCCGATAAAGGGGAATGAAACAAGATCAAGGGAGAAGTAGAGGCACAGACAGGCAGTAGGGTATTATAATACAATCCAGGTAAGTGCTTATAATGGAGAGACACACGTACACATATATAGTGGGATAGGAGCCCAAGGACAGTTACTTCTGTGGGTTAGAATCAGAAAGATGGGAATGTAGCCAGGCACTGAGGACTCATGCCTTTCATCCTAGCTACTCAGAAGGCTGAGATCTTAAGGATCAAGTTTCAAAGACAGCCCAAGAAGGAAAGTCTGTGAGATTCTTACCTTCAATTAACCACCAAAAAGCCAAAGTAGAGCTGTGGCTCAAATACTAGAGCCTTGAGCAAAAAAGCCAAATCAGAGCACAAGGCCCTGAGTTTAAGTCCCCACCCCCCCACACCAAAATATAAAAGACTAGAATTTGCAGTGAATACTGAAGGCTAAGGTTAAATAGAAATAAGCAAGTGAAATAAAAGGGGGAAAGATGTTTAAAGGAAGGGAACACTATGAATAAAGTCATTGGGCCAAGAAACAATGTAGAATATGTAGAGAATTCCTGAGCATTCTCTTCCAGCAAGAGCACAGTGGAAGTTGGAGGCCCCCATGCCAATCCAGCTTGCTGCTTGTTTTTGGAACGACCCACAAGCTGAGAATGACTATTAGATTGTGAAATGGTTAGGAAGAATAATAGTATTTCAATTACGGAGCATAATGGTACATGCCTGTAGTCCCAGCACTGGGGAGGCTGAGGCAAGAGGATTGTGAATTTGAGACCAGCCAGGGCTATCTAGTGAGATTAGTAGCTCAGAAAAAAATCATTACATGTGAAAAATATATGAATTGGCAATATTCATAAATAACATTTTATTGGAACATGGATACAGTTATTTGTTTACATATTAATTTATGACTGTTTTTGTATGACAACACAGAGAATATGGCCTGCCAAGGCTAAGATATTTACTGTCTGGCCCCTTACAGAAAAAGCTTGTTGACCCCTGGGCTAGAACATAAATAATTACAAATGGCAAGAGATGAGACTAAAGAGGCCAGCAGGGGCCACATGACCTTTATCTCACGGGCAATGGAGCCACTGAAGTCTCCGACCCAGAAGAGTATGATCAGCCTGGCCTTGAGAAGAGCGTGCTGACAAAGATGTAGGCCTGTTGTATGAGAAGGGCCAGAGACACTGGTGAGAGTTTGTGTGGCGGTCTAGAAGGAAATTTAAGGCCTGAATTCAAGCAGTGGTGGTAGAAACAGAGAGCAAGAGGGAAGGGCGTGGCTCTGGGATGATTTCCAGGCATCTAGTTTTAGTGATAGGGGATTGGGAGTTATGGCTTTGAATGAGACATGATTTATAGCATTTACATCAGATATAACTAACCAGTAAGAAGTTAGATACTAAGAAGAAAGCATGAGAGAGAGAGAGAGAGAGAGGAAAAAGAAGAGAAGGGGGGTTGCTTGGAGCCAGTCACTAGTAGCCTTAATCTTCTGGAGGCTAAAATCCAGAGGATTGAGATTTGAGGCCAGCCCAGTTAGAAAAGTCACTGAGACTCCATCTCCTAAATAACCTGAAGGCTGAAAACATGGCTCAAGAGGTAGAGTGCCAAAAAAAAAAGAGGTAGAGTGCCAGTGGAACAAGCATGTGGCCCCAAGTTTAAACCTAAGTACTGCCAGAAAGAAAGGAAGAAAAGGGCCGGGCGCTGGTGACTCACATCTGTAATCCTAGCTACTCAGGAGGCTGAGATCTGAGGATCAGGGCTCAAAACCAGCCGGGGCAGGAAAGCCTGTGAGACTCTTATCTCTGATAAAGCACTAGAAAACCAGAAGTGGTGCTGTGGCTCAAGTGGTAGAGTGCTTGCCTTGAGTTGAAGAACTGAGGGACAGTGCCCAGGCCCTGAGTTCAAGCCCCATGACCGACAAAAAAAAAAAAAAGGAAGGAAGGAAGGGAGGGAGGGAGGAGGGAGGGAGGAGGGAGGGAGGGAGGAAGGAGGAAGGAAAGAAGGAAGGAAGGAAGGAAGGAAGGAGCGAGCTTTGGGGGGAAAGCTGGGTTAGAGACACCCTTGGGAGCAAATGTGACTTGCCCTCCTGCTCTTGATGAGTGTTCTCACAGTACACAGTGCAGCCAGAAGCCCCCATGGCAAGAACCAAAAGTGGCAATTCTGGCAACAGGTTGATTGCTGTTTGTTATGGCAAAAGCAGTGTCTGTGGAGTGGAGAACAGAAGCCTGACTGGTGGGTAAGGGAGGAAGAAGCAGAGAAACATAGCAGGAGATGTAGATGACTTTTCCAAGAATCTTGGCTGAAGGAGAAGAACGGAGAAAGGTTGCTTCGGAGACAGCAGGGTGGATGTGACAAAAGGGAAGAAAATAGAGTATATGAATAGGCAGGAAGTCAGAGAAGGGAGACTGGATGGCACAGATTTCAGACGAGCTGGAAGAGACAGGACCAAGGGCACAGGGGGAGCTGGCTCTGAGCAGGAGGGACAGCCACCAGTGTCCATGAAGTGTGGAGGCCTTCGTGGGTGGGGTGGCTGAGATTTGCAAGAGCTCTGTAATATCGTTTCTGGTTATTCATGAACTAGGAAGAGTCAACTTGACCGCAGGAAATATATGTGCAAAGGTTACGTGTGTCTGGAATAATGAAGGAGAATGGAAGGATTGTCCCCTAAAATACTGAGATTGGAGACAAGGATTAAGGGGAAGGATTCTTGCAGGGCTGAATTACTCCATGACTGCTGCACAAACAGCAATAGAACAGAATTACAGATCCAAGATCGGTATAGAAGAGAAGTTGTTTGCAGGAGGCTGGTAGGCAGCCTGAAAATAGTAGAGTGAAAGGATTAAAGGGATTTTTGTGAACACCCTCAAATGTATGCACTTGGAAGTGATCCACTCATCCTGGTTGTTTTGTTTTGGCTGATGGGGGGAGGGAGAGTAATGACTCTTCTTAGTTAAAATGGGAACATTCAGGCATGGTAGAACACATCTGTAATCCCAGCTACTCAGATGGCAGAGGGTAAATTTATCAAGATCCTACCTCAAAACACAATAAAAACCAAAAAGAAGCTGGGTGCTGGTGGCTCACGCCTGTAATCCTAGCTACTAGGAGGCTGAGATTTGAGGATTGTAGTTCAAAGTCACACCAGGTGGGAAAGTCTGGGAAACTCTTATTTCCAATTAATCACAGAAAAAGGCAGAAGTGGTGCTTTAGCTCAACTGGTAGAGTGCTAGCCTTGAGCACAAAGAGGCTCAGAGACAGTGCCCAGGCCCTGAGTTCAAGCCCCACAATTGGCCAAAACAATTTTTTTTCAATTTGTATTAAAGTCATACCTATTAACAGGCTGAAGTTGGCAGATTCAATTATGAGGTTCAATAGTGGAATATTGTTTTGACTCTGCTGCTTCTCCCTGCCACCCCCCAGTCAGTGAGTAACATTTCTAATTCTTTCCTTTCCTTTCCTTTCCTTTTCTTTTCTTTTCTTTTCTTTTCTTTTCTTTGTCAGTTGTGGGGCTTGAACTCAAGGCCTGGACATGGTCCCTGACTTTTTTTTTTAGATTAAGCCTTGTGTTCTACACCTTGAGCCACAGCTCAAGTTTTTAGGTGGGTAATTGGAGATAAGAGTCTCTCGGCTTTTCTTGCCCAGGCTGGTGTCCAACTGTGATCCTCAGATCTCAGCCTAGTGAGTAGTTAGTATTATAGACATGAGCGACCTGGTCCATTTCTAATTCTTTTCAGCTAATTTCTGCCTGCCCTCCCTTCCCCCGCACCCAGTACTAAAGCTGAGCCTATAACCACTGCCCACTAGCACACTTCTCCCATCACTCTGGCTGGCTGACTATGTACTCTTATGTCGACCCAGCTAGATCTAATTAGAACCATTGGCCTCAATGCTAGGGATAAAGGAATTATTAGAGTTCTCTACTTTCCCATCCCAGGTCCAGTTCAAGTCAGTAAGATCTTATTTTAAATTTAAGATGTTCAAAGTTCTATGTTTAGCCAGAAGTTACAATACACACCTGTAACCCCAGCACTCATGAGACTAGTGGGCTACATAGTAAGACCCTGTCTCCATGCTTTTTAATGTTCTTAATTTTATGTTGCAATGCTGTCCTAAGTCAGTGGTAGGAGTGCGTGATTAAGATGCATGAGACCCTGGTTCAAACCTCAGCACCACAAAAACAAACAGACCACAATAACTTAAAAAAAAAAAAAAAACAGGTTCTAGCCGGGTGCTGGTGGCTCACACCTGTAATCCTAGCTACTCAGGAGGCTGAGATCTGAGGATCATGGTTCAAAGCCAGCCTGGGCAGGAAAGTCCACATGAGACTCTTATCTCCAATAAACCACTAGAAAACTGGAAGTGGTGCTGTGGCTGAATGGTAGAGCGCTCGCCTTGAGCTGAAGAGTGCAGGGACAGCGCCCAAGCCCAGAGTTCAAGCCCCATGACCAACCAAAAAAAAGAAGAAATAAAAAACAAAACCCAGGTTCCAGTTAGCATTATGGGGAGAAAAGATCAGTAAGGCATAGTTCCTGGCTCAAGATGCTCACGGATATGTGTAGGAGGCAGAAACAAATTTCGAAACCAAAATACAAGGCAGAACATGACATAGCTACAACAGAGAGGAAGGAGGTTAGCAGTGGTTTAGAAAGGAAGAAGAACTTTGTTTTGACCGTGATGATATGAAGAAAGTGGAGAGAGAGAGAGAGAGAGAAAGTGTGTATGTGAGCACGTGCACATACCAATCAGGGCCTGGGCATGTCTCTGAGTTTCTTTTGCTCAAGGCTAGTATTCTACCACTTGAGCAATAACACTCCACTTCTGGCTTTTTGGTGGTCTGTTGGAGATAATAGTCTCATGGTCTTTCCCATCTGGTTAGGTCTCGGACTGTGATCCTCAGATCTCAGCCTCCCAAGTAGCTAGGATTACAGGCGTGAGCCACTGATGCCCATCTTGAAAGTGGAGATTTGAATTAGAGCCTAGAGAATTTCACCACAGTGATGGGTGGGCTGGAGTTTGAGGACTGTGATTCTCTCCCTGCAGGGTGACTCTGGAGGCCCCCTGCACTGCTTGGTGAACGGCCAGTATTCTGTCCACGGAGTAACCAGCTTTGTGTCCAGCCTGGGCTGCAATGTCTCCAGAAAGCCGACAGTGTTCACCCGGGTTTCTGCTTACATCTCTTGGTTGAATAATGTGAGTCCCCTTAAATGATAGGGTACAATGGGGTCCCCTGAAGATCTCCATACTGGCTAGGGATGCCATTGTCTTCCTTCTCCGTTCATGTGTTTACTCTTTCCCCTCCCTACATAGTGAATGTTCATTTGGTGACATTGCCATCCTGACTTAACATGGCCTCACCGCTCCCCCAAGTACCAGCAGCAGATCTGAAGCAGGCATCTGGCAGTGCTGTCCGAAGTCAAAGCTAAGGGGGAAAGCTTCAGAAAGGCCTAGCAGTTCCTTTCCCTCTAAGAGCACTGTGAGAATTTGCTGTGTATGTGTGTGTGTGTGCACATGTACCAGCACTGGAGCTTGAACTCAGGGCCTAGGCGCTGTCCCTGTGCTTTTTTGCTCAAGGTAAGTGCTCTGGCACTTGAGTCACAGCTTCATTTCAGCTTTTTTCTGGTTGTTAGAGACAAGAGTCTTGTCAACTTTCCTGCCCAGGCTAGCTTCAAACTGTGATTCTTGGATCTCCACCTCCTAAGTAGCTAGGATTATAGGTATGAGTCATTGGTGCCTTGCTGCTTTAACTTTTAAAAGAAGTTTAACCATAGTCAAACTTTAAATAGTGCTTGAGAGTTAAACTCTGCCTATAGTGACTTAGTAGCATCGGCCCACAACCCATGGCACTGTACCTGCCAACCTCCACACACATCCTGGAGACTGGCTATGTGCATCTGGGCTCATGGTCATTTCAAGGTTTGTCCTTGCCTCTAGGACCTGGGTATGTGCTTATAATACTGAGGTGTCCTGACACATCTCAAATCTACTGTCTGCCCTCCTTCCGGTAAACCGAGTACATAGCTACATCTAACTGGAAGCCTTAAGGAAGATTAAAGTAGTGGTCAGGGGTTGGAGCTGTGGCTCAATTGATAAGAGCAACAGCTAATGAGCAAAGCATCTGGTACTAAGTTCAAATTCCAGATCCAGAAAAAAAAAGAATGAAGAAGAGTGATAGACAGAAGCGTAATTCAAGTGGTAGGGCATTTACCTAAATAAGAAGCCCTCAGTTCAATCCCCAGTCAGAAGGGAGGGAGAGGAGGAAGGGCTTTTTTAAAAATTCAAATCAAAACAAAAACCTACAAGCTATGAGCTGGTGGCTCACATCTGTAATCCTAGCTTTGCAGGCAACTGAGATCTGAGAATCAAGGTTCAAAACCAGCCCAGGCAGGAAAGACCATGAGATGCCTATCTCCAATTAACTAGCAAAAACCCAGAAGTGGAGGTGTGGCTTAAGTGGAAGAGTAACAGCCTTGAGTGGAAAAAGCCAAGCAAGAGAACTAGGCCCTGCATTCAAGTCCCAATCACCCCACCCCCACCCCCCGCACATACACAGTTACTAACTATAGATATAATTGTCTTTTCCTTTAGGTCATTGCATCCAACTGAATATTCTCCTGAGTCTCATGGCCTTTCGGAGATGGTTCTTAGATCTGCAATAGGACTTGAGGTCAACCAGTAAGAACACGGTGGTAGAGCTCAATGCCCAGTACTCAGAGAATAAAAAGAAAAAAAGAAAGAAAACATTCAGAGACACTATTGGGCCAGATACAGAAAAGTAAATAAAATGAAATATATATTCTTACCAACCCTGTTTCTGCTTGTACCTAAGCCCTCTAGAGAGGCAAAGCAGCTCTGGGCCTACACTGGACCTACCATTTCTGTGAGCTGCTGCTTCTCTTTGCTGCTCTCCATATCAGTCCACAAACTAAGCCTAGTGGGAGCTGTTGTACATCACTATTTGGGATTATTCTAGGATCTACTTATGCATTAATCTTTTCCTCTGTCCCCTTCTCCTGTCATATTTGCTTTATCACAAGTACAAAGTTCTTTAAAAGCTTCCCAAAGCCAAAGGGACAGGGCCCAGGCCCAGAGTTCAGGCCCCATGACTGGACCCAAAAAAAAGAAAAAAGCTTCCCAAAGCCAGTACCAGTAGCTCACATGTGTAATCTTGGCTATTCAGGAGGCTGTAGATCTGAGGGTTGTAGTTCCAAGTCAGCCTGGGCAGGAAAGTCCATGAAAGTCCATGAGACTTTCAACCACCAAAAAAATCTAAAAGTGGAGCTGTGTCTCAAGTGGTAGAACACTAGCCTTGAGCACAAAAGCTCAAGGCCAAGACCCAGGCCCTGAGTTCAAGCCCCAGGAATGGAATCAAAAAACCAAAACATAGCCGGGCGCTGGTGGCTCACGCCTGTAATCCTAGCTACTCAGGAGGCTGAGATCTGAGGATCGCGGTTCAAAGCCAGCCCGGGCAGGAGAG